CACCATTAATATTCAAAATTATATTTAATATGGGTGGTTAGAAGAGTATGATGCCAGTAATGAGAGTTTAATAGCTCATTAATATTATTGAAGACTAAAAATAATTAATAAACCTAATAGGTAGGCCCAAGTGTAAGCAATGTGGGCATTGGGTGACCTAGAGATGGAAAGTGAGCTAATAATTGTGTGTGATTGACTTTGTTAATGAAATTCAACTTAGTTGATTGTAGATTAAGCTCTTGTTCACCTAATTGACTTAGGAATTCAAGCTTGAAAGCTTTTATATTGAGAGATAAACCTTTGACCTCTTAAAGGTTTGAGGTAACCGAAGAAATCTTACTTTGGGCAATTATATGTTAATTGATTGTTAATTTGTGAATTGTGAATGTTGCATGCATGGATTGATTTTCAATGTGAAAGCATACATTAGTTTCAATAAGTGTATTGAAATTGAATGTTCATAATGTTATTTTTTGTTTGAAATGTAAATGCAAAATCAAGATGTTTTTGAACTATGAACATGCATTGTCTTTAGGAAAATGAATGTGATGTTGTGTTGAGATAAATGTGTGTTAATGAAAAATAGATTTTTCAGATAAGTGAAAATAATGTTGAGAAAATGATGAGGATACATACTTGGGTAGTACACAATCGTGAGCCTAATGTGATTATTGTGATAATGAGTAAATGAAAATAAAAATGTGAAATAATTGAGTATCATATACGGTATGATTAGTGGCAGGAGTTCGCCTAGAGATTGGGAGTAGAGAAAAATTTATATGATATTTAGACTATCCTTTGGTGCACGAAGGTATAGCCTTGTCCCATAGTTTGTCGAGAGACTATCCCATAGTTTGTCGAGTGACTAGAACTTAGCTATCTCCACCAGTTCAGTGAGGAGAATAACTTAAAGTATGAGAAACCCTAGAGATTTGAGAATGGGGAAAGCCATGATTCGAGAGTGAGTCATGTGATTTTTAGCTAGGTACACCTCACGATTAGTGAGCTTGGATAGTCTAGTCACACGAACGAGACCCTATTTAGTGTTATAGTCCACAGTTTCAGTTTAAAAAAATAGAAAGGGTATAAAGTTGATTGATCATTGCTTATATAAGCTTATGACATGTCACACGTGTTGAGTTGTGGCAAGTCACGTGAATAAGGGGTCATGATCACATATCTGAGAATATTTTGACAATGCACTAAGTATATATGAGATAAAAATGTTATTAAATAAGAAATGATGAGTTATGATATGTGTGAGCATGTTTTAGTATTTGGTTTTATATGCATTTGCTTGGTTTATAATTGATATATAATTGTATAGAGTAGGTTTTACCTTGATTATTGAGTGGCTAGACTCACCTATTTTATTTAATATTTTTTAGGCTCTAGCTTTAGTACAGAGAAGGAGAAGGCTCAAGAGGTTAGGAATTAACATATTCTTTTTGTATGCCTCTAACTTAGTTTTATTTTGTGTAATAATATATAATTGTCAATTATAGGTTGTATGCCATCATATTTGCACTATATTGTTGCTATAAATATCTGATTTATATTTTGGGCTTGAGTAATTGTGTATGATGAGATATATATGTTTATAGTGCCAAAATACTAGTGCAAATGTAGAAATGATATTTTAAACATGTTACAATGATTTTTGATGCAATTCAATAACTATGTGCCTCCCTCTTTGTTTTTGGTAAAAAGGGGTTGAGAAGTGAATTTATCTTATACTATTATATAAGTATGTGTGATGTGTTGTACTAATAGTTCTAAGTCTAATGGATATGATCTAAGTGTTATGAAAGGCTTTTGACACTTGTTGAGGGTTTTGGACATTGTGAAAAGTGGTTAAAATGTTTTGAGTGTCCAACTTCCTAGTGTGACTCATTTTGGAAGTGAACTCCCGTGCCATTAGTTAGTTCATGAAAGAGCTTTCCGTAGACACCTAATCATGTCATTCGAACATCGGATGGAGAATTGGGGTGCGTCGAAAGTTCCCTAATTCTGCTATCAAATGATAGCAGAATTGTTGATATTTTCACGCAACACGCCGTGACACATGGCACCTGAATCATGGTGCTTGACACAAAGAGCAACATGCCACGGCACAGCATGCATGAGCCGCAGCGCATTGCCCTGTTTCATAGCATATAAGTTTTTTTCACTTGTTTTCAATTTCTTTCATTTCTTTAAGGTATTCCATGCTTCCGTAACTTGTTTTTACTCTGATATATAAAATTATGATTGATTTAAGTTCATTTTGATTAGAAAATTTAGGATCCCTTGATTTTGAATTAAAACTTGGTAATCTTTTGAAAGAGGTTAATCCTTTGATTACTATAAATTATTTGATTAATTGTGTTTAGTGGAGTGAGATTTTACAAGGCGCATGGCACAGAGAGGTCCTCATTCTGCATTTGAAGTGTCTATGCGCCGCAACAGATGCACTCCCCGCCGCGGTGTGTGCACAGCAATATTAACTCTTCATTTTCTACTCCTTTCGATGCTCGAGTGGTCCAACTTGATACCAAACCCATAATTTAGGCTATAATACAATCAAACATGATTATTAGACCTCCGTGGCCACACACCACTTAACCTACTTAATTACCCTAATTTTAGTTAATCAGGGGATTAAAAATTGAGATGTTACATCTTGCACTGTGGCACGCATTATAAAGAGGAACAAGCTACAATGCATGTGCACATGTCACGGCATAGGGCCCCTATGTTTTTATTCTCACTTAATGTTTTTCAACTAAGTTTGAATCTTTTTTATTAGAAAATGGTATCTCAAGCTTTCGTACTTATTTATACTTCACTTTTGACTTAATTAAGTCATATTTGATAAAGAAAATAATAATAAAATCTTTTTAAATTATATAAATAATATTTTGATCCTTTGAAATGTCATAATTTTTTTAAAGTTTCTAGAGACTTTTCTGTCATTGAAGAATTAATATAAATAACTAAATTGTCCTTAATTCAAATTTCAATTACCATCACAAGTTTGTTCTAAGATTCACAACTTTTCTTCTTAAAATCGCAAAAATTCAATAACAATTTGCAAGTTCGCATTTAGAATCTTGATATTCTTTAAGTGTTGCAAATATCAATTATCATTTACAAGTTTTGTTCTAAGATTAACAACTTTTTTCTTAAAATCGCAAGAATTTAAAAGTAATTTGCAAATTTAAAATAAGGGCAATTTGATTATTTATATTAATTCCTTAATGACAGAAATGTCTCTAGAAACTTCAAGAAAATTGTGGTATTTTAAGAGATCAAAATATTATTTACATAATTTAAAAGGATTTTATTGTCATTTTTTTATTTGATATGCTTTTGAAAAGTTTAAAGTTGGGTCCCAATTGTTGAAAGAAATACTTTTTGTTTTCCAAAATATTTTTAAATGGTTAACTATGATTGTGTAATCCTCTTAGGTTTAATTCTAATAATTACTGATGATGTGTTTAGTTGAGAATTGAATTAGTAAGGAGAATCCTATATGGTTCAATTTGACATGTATGAACATTATGGATGGAGCATGGACAATGTGGTCGGTTGAGTTCAAAAAGTATTTTTTTTCTAGAGAAATTTAAAAATTTATTAGATTCATTTGGCTTTTAAAGATAATGGAAATTATCTATAAAAATATTGTAAAATATTGATGGGACGCATTGATTCATTAGTGAAATGAATCATAATCTAATGCTGAACATTATCAAAATTAGGCTTTTTAGGAATGGATTAAAATAGATAACATCCTTTTTTTTTTTTTTTGGATTAACTGAATCCAACTATGTTTAGATGTACGTGCCGTTCCGACCATGGACAGTCAAATAAATTTTAAAAACATTTGACAAAATGGATTTTCTTACCATTTAATCAAGAGCATCCCAACATTTTGACATCACTCATAAAACACACCTCAGATGATCTTCACGGAACGAGTCAAACAAATTAAGGATCCAATTTATAACTTGAAAAAGTGAAAAAAATTTAAGTAATTTAATCAAACAACATAAACATTCTTAGACTTTGACTCACATATATCTTGTTTAACCTATAAATTTTAAAATTTGTTCAAATAATCCTTATCAGTAGTTTGTCATTTCACTAGTTAAGATATGATCCACATAAAATGGATTATCATGTGCAGTCCAAATGTTTATGAAAAAAATTAAGTTTAAAAGATTCATTAACACTATCATGTTTTGATCTACTTGTGAAATAATATAAAAAATTATTCCTTCTATCTTAAATTATATGACACTTTTGAAATAGATTTAGCTTTCAAATTATAAGACACTTTAACAAATATATGTTATCATTATTTATTTTTTTTATTATGAACATTGTGTAATAACAATATATGTTATCTAAAAAAAAAAATATGTCATCCAGATATATTTTTCATATGGTTCAATTTGACATGTATGAATATCATAGATGGAACATGGATGGCATGGTGTATTGAGTACATACAAAAATGTCTCATTTAGATAATTTTAAAAATTTATTAGGTTGCTTATGACGATAATAGAGACTATCTATAATAACATTGTACAGATGGGAGTGGGACGTGATGATTCATTAGTGAAATGAACCGTAATTTAATGCCAAACATAATCAAAATTAGGCCTTTTAGGAACGGCTAAAAATAGATAAAACCTTATTTATTAATTTCACTATACAAATTAATTGAATCCGACTATATTCAGACGAATGTACGTGCCGTTCTGACATCTAATAATCAGATAAATTTTAAAAGCAATTTAACAATATGGATTTTCTTACAATTTAACCTAGAACCACTAATTACTAATTTGAAAACTTACCTCATGACATGAACAAATTGAACCAAATAAACAAATAAATAAAAAAGAAAAGACAATGGCGGGATGAGGAGTGGGAGGGAAAACAAAATACAACAAATTACTATGAAAACAAGGACACCAGAAAAGGGAATGGAGGTGGGCAAAATATAAATAGACTGTGTCCTCGCTTGGGAGTAATCGGAGTGTAGTCATTGGTCGAGTTGGCTCACACACACGCAAAGCTCTCAGCTTTTGGCGTTTCCCACATTGAGGAGCGCCATTTACTCCTACCACAGGGGGGAGAGAGAGATAGAGAGCTCTTGTGCTTCTCTTTTCCCTCTCGAGGTGATTTGATTTGTCTCTCGTTTGATTTTTGTCTGCTACGATGAAGGGAAGCGCGAAGAAGAAGACTGGTTTGGAGGCACCGGTTGATGCTTTTAACGGTGGTGATGGGGATGCTGGCATTAATGGTGTTGGTGATTCGTTGGCTCCTTCTGTGGAGAACAACGATGGCTTCTGGCAGAAAGGGGACGAACGGGAGGAGACCCCTTTGCAGGATTGGGAAGGAGAGGATGAAGAAGAAGGACCAGAAGAAGAGGAGGAGCAGGAAGAGGAAGGAGGGAAGGAGAAAGAGAAGGTGGATAGAGATACTGTGGCTGAAGAGGTTCAGGTTCAGGTTCAGGGTCCCAAGCTCGATGATGACTTCTATGAAGTCGAAGCAATACGTCGCAAAAGGATTCGCAAGGTAGAGTGCCCGCAAGTTTGTTTCTTTTTTCTTTCGTTTGTTCTTGTTTCTTCTGTGGGTTCTTTCCCCTTTGATTCCGCGGATATGGAGTAATTCTTCGTTTTTATTGTATTTTTTTTATGGTTTTCTTTGAATATATTGGAGGTGGTTTTGGTATTCTTCTTATTCTTCCTGACCATGGAATTTCGTTGTTCTAATTCATCACGAAAATGTTAAAACTGCAGGGTAAGGTCCAGTACCTCGTCAAATGGTGAGTGTTTCTCTTTGTTGGCTTTTTATTCTCATTGTTTAGCTGGAAGTGAAGGGAAGTATAATTGCTTTTTTTTTTTCCTTTTTTTTTCCCCTTTTTTGCCTCCCTCAAAGGCGTGATTGGCCTGAGAGTGCTAGCACTTGGGAGCCGCTGGAAAATCTGAAGTCAGTTCCTGATGTCATCGAAGCTTTTGAAAAGAGGTAAACCCTTGGTTTTTTCTTGCATTTATTTTTCATGATATTTTTACGTTTATGTACAAAATGAGTGAATATGAAAGACATATCTTTTCTTTAAAAAAAAAAAAATTATGCAGCACTGATAATAGGTAGTTTATGAATCTCAAAACGGCTACTAAAGTTTTTGGCTTGCCTTTCTATTGTTGATTTTAAATAGAAATTGGATGGGCTCAATAGCTGGACCAGTTAAATATGCCGGTTTACACTGGGTAGCTAACTTCAGTTTTGCTCATGATTTTGATTTTGTTACACCTGTAGATTCTCCTAGTGAGTGTATAGAACTTCTGTACAGTGATATCTTGGTTGAAGCTTGCCCAAGAGGAGTTTTGATATAGATTAATGAAGAGTTTGGGCATTGGCCCCAATGATTCCCAAAGATAAAAATGTTGGTTTAAAAATGTTTGTTGTTCTTTTTGGTTTTTGAAGCTTGAAATCCGGAGTAGTGAGGCCTCGGAAGCGCAAACGCAAGCATGTGGTTCAACACACTCAAATCAAGAAGAGGCAGCAACGTTCAGCCACTTCTTACAGTCTTAGACATTTTTCACCTCCAGTTGCTGATAACCAAACACAATCTTCTCCTCTCAATGATCCTGGTACTCCTGATATTCCTGCCCGTCCTCATACTGTGATCTTTGCTGATGATGGAGAAAATTATGGAAAAGTCGGTCGAGCTGATGAAAATGGGCATGCAAATATTTCAAAGCTAAATGTTGAAAATGAGGAACCTGATTATGACCCAAAGCTTAGTGAGCTTAAAGCAACCACAATCAATGGAGTTGATGGAGATAAGGTTGCAATGCGCTCCCAAGAAGCCAAGACCTCAACTGGCAGTGGCCAAATGGGTGGTCAATGCAAGGCGGATTCTGGGGAACCTGGTCAAAGTGGCCGCTGCCGAGGAGCAAAGAGGAGAAAATCAGGTTCTGTTAAGAGGTTCAAGAAGGATTCGCAATCAGGAGAGCCTGTTGATGCTCAAATGGCCTTGTCAGGTGGTGCAGCAGAACATGCGCACACAGGCACTCTTGCTTCTGCAGGGAACAATGGTCATGCCAAGACGAATGATGCTATGACTGCCTGTAATATCGTCAAGCTTATAAGGCCAGTAGGCTATTCAGCTTCTATAGCCGATGGCAATGGGCAGAATATTTTGGTGACTTTTGTGGCTTTGAGGTTAGTTGTTCAACTGATATCTCCAAATTATTTAGTGATACCTTTGATATTTTTGGTATGTGCGCTACTGATCTTATTTGCTGATATAGAATAATCTATAATTTTTCTCAGATTGCTTGACACCTTAGAAATGGGAAGAATGGTTCTGTTGGACGTATATTTCCTCTTACCTATAATATACGTCAAGTCATGAGCAAACGAGAGGAACCTTACACTTTGAATAATTATTAGTAATTAGAATTATTAGACTTTACAACTCATCCATGTTTAACATGTATTCTGTTTCACGTTGATGAAGGTTAAGATCACTTGTATTGTATCCATGGTTACTACTTATTAGAACTGCAAGGCATCTAATCCTGTTCGGGTTATTCCTTCACTGCTTTGATAATTAGGTCAATGATTTGATCTTTTGACTATTTTATATAGTAAACACATTAATAATCTTATTAAAATAGAGAATATGGCACGAGAGAATATCATATCATAGATGAAATCATTTCCAGTTTTGCTAAATTAATGAAATTTCTACAATTATTTAAAATTATGATTATTAACAAATGACAACTGATCAAATGTTTATTTATGTATTAGTTTCATAGTTTCACAATTTCAAGAATATAATTTAAAACTGCTTTAGTACATCAGATATTCAATTTGTTGGATGTTACTGTGCAATTTGATGCCAAATATTTCTGCATTCAATCCAAAAAGGGATGTCCCATGAAGTAGATTTTTTTTTTTTCCGGGTGGGGGGTGGGGGTTACCGTTATAGTATAAATACTTGTGCCAGTTTTCTGATGAATCTTAGTGAATGAATTGACTTGCATTTTTCTTTCAACAATTTTTCTCCTAAATCAAGCTTCCTGATAACTTGTACATAAATGTCTTTACTGGGTGACTTATCCTTTGTCTGAAGTTGTTTGGTTGTGTAACAAACTGTTCGATTGTTTGAGTTAATGAATAAAAACATAAACATCCGTGGTTTGTTTGGAATGGGACTGATAGTGGGTCTATTGGGTTACTTGTAGGTTTTTGTGGATGTAGATTTTTAAACAGATGGTGACACCATCTTTTTGGGACTAAAATAGGATTTTTGTCCTTGTTTTTTTCCACAAAAAAAAAAAAGAAAAAAACATCTTTCTATCAAGAATTTTTCATCCTGATTGCTCTGTTGGGAAGAAGACAATCAAGTAGTTGAATTATTTATTTCAACATTTGAAGATATTAAATTATTATCAATCAACTTATTCAATAAAACCTCTATAATCCATGCATCTATTTATCAGGATTCGGGAACTTTGGGAACCATCATTTTCAAGAAGCTGAGTTGGCTCAGCATATAGGTTTTTGGGTGTAATTAGTACAATACTTGTTTGATTTTTTGAATTTGTTGATCTGTTTGTCTCCTATTTTGTCGAGAGACATTTTCAAGGTTTTGGATGAGTGAAATGCTTTGGGCAAGAGGCAATTTTGGTTCCCTTTTCCTAGAACCTTTCATTGATTTATTGATTTGGAGCCATTTTCTGGAACACTCCCCAATTTTGGAATTTGTTGATCTGTTTGTCTCCTTACTTTGATTAGGATTTCATTTCCCTTATTCATTCTTGTTGGAAATGACATTTGTATCTGTTTAACCTCCTTTCTAAGGAGTGAGCTGGATTATCATGTAGTATGCCTCTTCACAATTGCCTTTTCTGGTTTATTGTCCAGGAATGATGGAGCTGAAGTGATAGTGGATAATAAGTATCTCAAGTTGAACAATCCAATTATGGTAATTTGTCATGTAGATGCAGAATGTTCTGTGGATCTTTGCTTATTAATGTTCCACAGTTTCAGGGACATGCAAAATTTTTCACTTTCTTTGCCTTCCTCTTACCAAAATCTAACGACCTTTTTTATGTTACAGCTGATCAATTTCTATGAGCAACACCTGAGGTACACTCCTGCACCGACACCATGATTGGACAGAGTAGAGCAGCAAATGGTCTCACATGTGCAGTGAAAACATCATGTTGCTTTCAGTGCTGTAGAATTTGTTCTTGTGTAGATTCAGCAGAAAGTATAGGGTCAAAATCTCCTAGCTGGTTTATGATTTAGTATATGAATATGAACTGTTTAAGTAGCTTTGTTCTATGTTTTAAAATGCTCATGAGTACATTATATGATGTCTGTGTATTTAGTTTTTACCATTATGATAGGAAATTGTCTACAGGTCAGACTCTTCGTTGGTGATTTAGTGTATAAACTATTAAAGCTGCTCAGTTCTTCGTTTTAAATGCCGTGTTGGGTTGCTTATATATCATAATGTCTGAAATTATCTATTTCAATGCTTCTAGTTTGTTTTGAATAATTTAGTTTTTCAGAGTTAGTAATAAACTTTTATATGTGAATTCCCAACTCCCAATTATGGTTTATAGCACCATTCAAAATCAAAACCTCCCTTTTGTTATATAACTAGAATATGTTTTAAATATTTAATTCAACAGTTCAAATGCAATTCCAAGTATACGACCTATACAAACTTTTAACTTCCAAGTACGCTATAAAACAATTGCTTAGAGGCAACAACAAACGCTTTACAATGAGCAACTCTTGAATGATAAACAAAGTTGAATTGATGCATAAACCAATCCTAAGTGCATTTTAATCGGAAAGATGACTTGTGAAAATGCTTTGTTACACACTGCAAACGTTAAGATTTGTATTAAGAAATAAACTACAACGGTTTAATTAAATTCCCATCATAAATATGAAAGAAATAGACAGGTAACGGAGTCCAATCAAACTCACCTATGTGGACTCCAAACCTACCCCCACCCCGGCTCTTTCTCTCGCACCTTGAACTCTTTGGTACGAGAAAGAAACTCCTCCAAGTAAGGAGCCTTGCAACGTATATTACAATATATAACAGCACAAAACATACAACGTGAAAATGTTTGCCATTCTTCACTATACAAAACCATTACGTGTGTGTGAGCTCTAAGGATTGGGTGGACTGTTTTGTGGTGCAGATGGCTTCCGGAGAAGTGAACTAAGTTGAACTCCTCCTGCAGAAGAACCATCTTGTTGGTTTTCAAGTTTTAGTCCTTTCTTCTTCTTCACTCTTTCTGCCCAGCCAACCAGGCCTGCTTGTACATGCTCATTAAATATTGCGGCCTTGTAATATGTTCCCATCTACATGGTTTTGAAAATGATGAATGTCAATGCGTTAGAACCTACCAGAAATCCTCAGGTGCATGTAATGTGTGTGTGTGTCTGTCGTAGGTAGAAAAATGTCTTCTGGAAAGGAAATGTGAGATGTACTTATCCCATTTTATTTCTTGGTATATTTCTCATTTCCTATTAGAAAACATTTTTCTGTGTGCCAAATATCGCCACAGAACGTTTGGTTTCTCATTTGAAACCACCAAATCCAAAGGCTTCTTAGCAGTTTTCAATCACGCATAATGCATTCGTATGCTGGTCCAATGGAAATTTGCTGTGATTGGTGTTTCAAGTGGAGTTCACTGATACACTCACTCTATAACTCTGATGAATTAACATTCACTTATAGTTCCTAAAAATTTATATTGACCTCTCGAACTATCTGATAAAAACTCGTAGATGTGGGAGTTTTAGATAATAAAGTTCACAGATACTCTCACTTTAATGATTTTATATTGACTTCTTGAACTATCAAGCAGTAGCATATAGTTCCTCTAAAAATCACTACAATCACTTTAACCAATTTATGTTGACTCCTTGTATTACCTAACTGAAACTTATGCAATGTTTGGTAGATAGAAAAGTATTTTCTAGAAAGGAAATGATAAATGCACCTATCTCATGTTTCTGTGATACATTCTCCATTTCCTTTCTAGAAAACACTTTTTTACGTACCAAACAGGTACTTACAATTTCTAACAATTTCTTCTCAATTCATTCTCACTAGAAACTCAAACTCACCTGTGTAACAATAGCATAAAGGGGTAGGGTGCTGTAGCTACAAAGTACTTGTATAAATATCCTGCAAAATGCAATCCCAGCAGAAAAATTGAAGAGGAGAAAAAGGGGGGCAAAAAAATTGAATGAGTGTCAGCACACACTATAGAAACAGAAAAGAGAATGCTAGATAAAGGGCAAGAACAGTGTTGCATTTACCCTATAACAAGCCTGGGCACAATGTATCCGACTTCTCCCATTATGCATGAGTCAAAGTGATACGTAACCTAAGATACAGAAGCAGATAGTGTTTAAAAGTTGTATTACTCTGAGTGATCTTAAACGAAGGGGAAATAAAACAAATGGTATCATGAAATTATGCTTCAGAAGAATTTGCTTACCCAAATCCAAAAAAAGAATGCTATCTCAAAAGCGTTTTGGAAAAGGATAAAATGAATCAAGAAGAGGACAAATTTGGGTCGATGAAACCAAAAGTGATCATCTGATGGTTGGACCACCAATTCACCTTCTACAGCTGCATGCTTCTCAGCTACTTCATGGGCTAATTGAGTGATTACATGCTCCAGCTTAGCTCCCACAGCAAGTAGAAGCTTAAAGAAAAGAAACAGCAACCGAATCAATAAAGAAGATGCAATAGGACAAGAAAATGATTATTAAAAATAGAAACACTTGCACCAATATAAAACACAACTCAAACAGAAATTAAATTGGGAACAAGACAGACAATGCCCATATAAGAGTAAAATTGCATTCCTATTAAATTTTGTAGGCTGCAGAATGTAAGCAAAAACTCATCTTTAGATCACCATCAACATATAGAATGATGTGTTTGCTGGGGGTCACCACTTCACATGATTCATTGCAAAAGAGACTTCCACTAGGAAATAATAGATACGGAATCAATTGATAAACATTTTTCAATCCACACTTGACCAGTGCCTTGACTCTGGCTGTATATAAATTACAAAAGCTAAACTCTAGTTTTTGAACTTCTAAATGCTACAGGAGATTTGGAGGAGAAGCAGGGAAAGGGTTATTTGATAATGATCTCTTATGTTAAACTCTAACCAAACAGATCAACCGTATTATACATGAGCGATTCTCTGCTCCCAAAGCATATTTCAACATTCATCAACTCTCACTAGAAGACACTGAATTCAATAACTAAATTTCAAAATTTACATCAGCTTAGGATGAGATATTTAATATTGTCAACAGAATTGGAAGGAAGCCCTTGAGATCAATTTCCAAGTAATTCAATAGAGAAAATGTAGCCAACAAAATTATGAGATGGCATCAGGTTAATGGAAACAACAGTTTGGATTTAAGTTAGATGACATGATTAAATATATGCCCAACGATGCACATGTCAACAAGAAATAAGAAAAAAGTTCATCAAGAAGCTTACAATGAAAGGAATGAAGGCGATCCAGAAATATGTATGCCAACCTGGATGAGTAAAGAAACCATCTTAGCTAAGAAATTGAAGTAATATTCACTGTAAACTAGCAAATCAAAAGAAGCAATTTGATCGATTGCTCTATGCAGGCAAAACTGCAAGAGTTTATTAGTCACTGTTGTTAAAGCCCATGGTGCCAGATGTCATTGTTTTTAAACACCAGTGGCACACAGCTACGAGCAACTAAACTTATCGAGATCAAGTTCTGATATGGATTGAGAAAGAGGCCAAAAAGATCAAACTGTAGCCACAATAAATGCTTGGTAATAGCCATTTGTTCAAAAAGAAGATATGTCATATAGCAGGAGCGTTAAAGCTATAGAGCATACCGTTAACATTAAGCAACAAGAAGATGACCACAAAGATCCACAGGTACCAACTGCAGCCATGAAAATATAAATGTAACTACACAGATCACATAGGACAAAACAAATGACATTAAAAGCAATTAGATTGCTAATCATGTAAGGTAAACTAAGAAGAACTATAACTACAAAGTCATTTTAGAGAAGCACTTACCTTATGCCAACAACTTTTTTGAAATCATCTTCAAGCGCACGCATCATATATTTGTGAAAGTCAAACTTTCGGTTTTGATTACAGTGGGTCTAAAACAAGAAAAAACATACAAAGATTATGTTATTATTCTGGCTTTCATTAGACTGCCTGATAATCAGTCAAGAGAACATGGAAAAGCAAATATTGTCCATCAGAGCCATACCATAATAAAACCAAGCCGTAATGTCTTGTAATCTGATTTTGTCACAGAGCCATAAAATTGCTTAAAAAACGAATGCTGAAAGAAAAATATAAATTCAGGATGAATAACTAAAATTTCAGTAAACATGGCATAAATCCATAAATAATGACTGTTTCAACATTTCCATAGAATTAATAGGTCATGTTGTCTAAACAAAGGATCAACCAATTTTTTTATCCCTGATGAAATTGTAAACCTGAACTAGAAAATATGACGAAACTACCTAGGTGTAATCAAACTAAAATGAAAAATAAATAAATAGGAAATCAAATTCCAGGTTTTAATTGTCACATTGAGTTTAGTAACAAGGATGGCCAACCAGGAGCTAGACAAGCAGACGGATAGAGGGGTTTATCATGACTGTAAAGCATAGAATAACTTACCAACCAGCTTAGCAAAATTGAATCTTTACCAAAACCCAGAAATCGACCCTTAATAAAATCATGCTGCTGAACATGAGTGACTGCTGGTTCTGGAACTGCAGTTACTCAATATGCATAAACAGAGTAATTAGGAAAGACAACACTGTATTCATCATATCTTAAGAAATAACTATATTCAAGAGAATTTCTGGAACTTAAATAAAGAAATTTGACTTGCTCAAGTTTCCAATTGTTCATTGTAATCCTCAAACCAAATATTGACATATTTAAAGTGCCATCATGTTGATTTTAAAACTATGCAACCGACATATTCAATGACCATCAAAGATTCCAGAAGCTAACAATATTATCGAAAGGGTATGCACAATAAATGGTCAAATTGCTTACCTTGATTTGTTTCATCGTTTTCTCTGGCAATTGAATTCTCCCAATGCTTCCACTGACGTATCTATATCAAGAAAGTTGGATTATCAATAAAGAAGACTAAGAGAACCTAAACAAGCAGAGGCATTTTTGAATAAGATTACTAGATACTCACTCTTGCACTTCCAAAAACAATAGTCAGCACACAGAATGTCACATGGACGACAGCTAGAACAAAAATAAATATATGCAGGTGATGCAGTGCTTCTGAAGCTATTAATGGTACCTTACCCTGAAATTTAATCAAAAACATATTACAGAATAAGATGCTGTAGCATGTGGAAAAAATAGACATATTACATGAGTAACTGGGGAAAATCATAAAAAGGATTCAATTCAGTGAAACACTATCTATATTGCTTGAGGCAGAAGGCAATAATATTTTAATAAAAATAACAGTCCAGTGAAATCCTCTTGATAAATGTGAGAATGGGGTAAGACCCAATCTGACAAAGGCACAAGTAATCAATATGCAAAATTAATGGAATACAACGATACAAGGTTGTAGCAAAAATTCATAATTTTCTGCTGTGCCAGTGCCAGCACATATTAGTAATATCCTGCTTGGCATAACAAATAAGATAATAGAGAAACACAAGGAAATTAAGAAAGTTATCCTGATCACATCACCCCTAAATGACTGGGGACAGAGAACTGATATGACTCCTCAAAATCAATTTGAACACGATATGATTGGAAAGAATTGTTAGGATCTCATCCTATCCCCTTTTTTTTTTTTTAATTTCCCTCACCATTTCTTTTTCCAATCTGATTCCAATGCATGTCAGGTGTGTTCCAAACCAAAAAGTAATTATTTTCATTCCATCACATGAAAATATGCATTGGAGTTGTTTTTTGCATATCATGGCAGTTTTTGTCTGACGTGTCAAACAGTATTGTGCATGAAAAAAATTGTGGACACTTCATAATTCAAGACACAATGTTTGCACGGACAACTGACTTTCGGGTCATTGTCATCAACCAGTAAGCATTGACAATGTAATTTCTTCTAACACTGGAACCAGTAACAAAAGTCTAATCCTTCTCATTGCTTTGTAAAGGATAAACAGAAACAGGGAAACTCAGCGTTCTAAGGAAAAAGCTAGTGTCACTGGAAGACTAATTAGGGAAACGTAAAAATTGAATAGAGGAACTGTTGAAACATGAAAAGGGTAAAATATGTTTTGGTGTACGAGGAAAATTACTGGTTAATTCAAAATAAACATAATATCCATCATTTTACTCTCAGACAACCTAATTTTCCCATCACGTGTGCATATAAAGTTTCAGAGAGCTTAATTTTTATTGTTAGAAACATGTAATGAGTTAGATAGAGAGAGCAGACTGTTGCCTTAAACCTGTATAATTAACTTTATAACCAACCAACTGTTACCAAACAACTAGTAGGGCAACACATAATTTACTTAATAAAATCCAAGAAAGATCCACAAGTAAGATGACAATGAGTATATGACCCATGTTTATATGATGGTTGAGTAACGGAGCCAACCATCTACAAGCTATGAACAAGGACTTGCCAATTTTTCGTTGAATCATTTATAAACATGCATACTGACATAAATGCCACCGCAAAACCTAAAAAGAAGATCACAGTTCCAGAAGAATCTCAAGAAGCATCCATATATAAAAAGATTTACATAAAACAGATAGTCTAGAACATTGACCAACCAATTCCATTATACGGCCAATTGCCAAGCAAAAATCCATTATAATTGCAATATGTAAGAGAAAAACGAGTATCTCTTGGGTTCCTGCTATCCAACAAAAATACATGGACTAGATAAGTGAAAAAGTACAGCCGAGGCTTCCAAAAGTTAACGATAGGGGGGAAAAGTGAAAGACAACGAGATTCCCATATAAAAAAAAAAATGAAAATGAAACCAAAATATAAAGCCAAATGTGTTCATACATGTTGGTCTTTTATTCCTCCCTGTGTTCTGCCATAATTGCCACATACAACGTCAAAAACATTTTTGTTTTTAAAATTGTCATAAGGAATGTTGGATCCTAAGTGATTTGATGATATGACACTGAAAGCTCGTCACTTTTGGAAACGTTGGTAATAAAAATGCCTAGATCATCATTCCCAATATAAGGGATTTGATGAGAGAATTCTGAAATTGTCTTTTTTCCATTTTGAGATGCTTCTTTTGTTTCCTCAAACTGGAAAGCTCGCAACAGAAACCACAGTCTTCTTGTCCAAAGGACAATTTTTTTACAGGAACAAACTAGAGGACCAGCTAAAATCATATTATAATAAACTGATCAACGCTGTGTCATTACCTTACGAGCGCAGTATCCGGTTGCGGACTCCGACGATGGCTCCTCAGCAAGAAGGTGCCTGATGCCCGAAATAGCAGGAAAAGACAACGAAGTCTGAAAATGGGAAGTGCCACTTTGTGATTCTTTCTGTTCTTTCTCCTCCAGCGAACAAGGTAGCATATGGCGAGTCCAACTCGGATGAATGCAGATTTTAGTGATGCCATTTTGCGAAACCGTCAGAAGCAGAGATATAAAACCCATCAGCATCAGTTCTGAAGAGAGGGAGAGAAAACAAAAATTCAAACAAAACGAAACCCTCAGTTTGCAGATCAGAAATGTACGGACGTCAAACCACATTAATTAACATTGCATGAAAATGAAACAGGAAAAGAAGAACCTTCTTTGATCTTCTGAAGCGCTTGGAAAAGCGGCTTCTGATTCTTCCGTTTGAGGTACTTCCCACCATAATGAAGAAAACGTTCGACAGCGAATGAAACTGCAACAATAACAGAGCAAACGACGGCCACTACCCATGTGGGAGTGAATTCTAAGTTGTTCTCATCGTCACCACCACCACCTCCGCTCATTCTTCTTCTTCTTCGTCTTGATGATCTCCCTCTCTCTCACCCTGACCTTTGCCTATCGTCTTCCCAGCAATTGATTCTCTGGTTATAGAGACTCTGCACTGCTCTGTCTCTATATATCTCTCGTGTTCTAGGAATCAGTCACGGTTATTTTCTGCATTTTATAGTCAACTTCACAAATGTTTTTGGTGGACCACTCTCGGGACTCTCTCTATTTAGATTTAAATATTTTAATAAAATCAAATCAAATTTCAGAAAGCCTGAGTCCTTCTTGACCCGCGCAAACAACCGATGATTCCGCGGAGTTCTTAATTTTTTTTTTAAATTAAATTGAGTATTATTTTTTTTTTTTCAACTAAATTGAGTGTTATTTGATAATGAACTGTTGGCCCACCAAAAAAAAAAAAAACGACAATGAACTCTGCTCTCCAATTTGCTTTACCCATTACAGAACTGTCAAGGGTTACTCGTGTCCAAAATACAAATAATTTTTGTTAAAGTATATATTTAATTCTTTAATTTTACAGGACATTTTATTTTAGTCACTTAACTTTATAAAATATTTTTTAATTATTTAATTCTTGCATTGTTAATTTTATCTGACAAATTTTTATATTAAACTTTTAAATATTGACAAAACATTTAAATGTTGATATATATTAAGTTTAATTTTTTTAAATAACAATGGTTGATATAAAAAATAATTATTTAAAACTAACGATGTTTGAATTAAAGGATTAAAAAGATATTTTATAAAATTAAAAGATCAAATTGAAACCTTATATAAAATTAAAAGATTAAAAGTATAGTTTAGCCAATAATTTTTTTAAAAAAATCAGCATATTAATAAATTTTTTATTTTCATAAAAATATATATTGTTTTTCTTTTTATCTTTAATTCTAATTACCAAAGCACTATATGATAACTGAAAAACACATTTACTCAAATAATTAGATTAATAAATATAAAGGGTAGATTGAATTTTTGTTTACTTTTATTATATTACTTATATTTTGAATAAATATTAGTTGGAGGAAAATTTTTATATTTTAAATTAAAGGGAATAACTTATTAAATCTGTTTTAAAAATAAAAAATATTTTATAGAAAAAGAAACACAATATTCGAAAAGCCGTATAAAAAACACTAAGTTATAGTTAAATTTTTATTTTAATGATTTCTTAGTTGTAAAATTTAAAACTATTAATTAATAACCTTCCATATAATTTACATTAAAGATTAAGAAATTTTTCAAAGAAGCGCTGTGTTATAGAAATAGAGGGAGTACAAATTAGGCTGGTCCTTTCCAGTTCTAGGTAATCTGATCCTTACCACCAGCATAGTTTATTGATTAAATAATTAATAATCAATTATCAATCAATCAATTAATTATAACAGTGGTTTTCATACAAACATAAACGCTAATGTGTAAAACATGTGGGAGAAGCACGTAAAAAACATAGTCGTTGCCAGGCTAATAACTATAATATAAAAAAGGAAACGGGACCCGAGGGTATAAAAGTCCATACATTAAACTCTTTCGATTTTTCAGACCCAAAAAAAAAAAAAAAAAACTCTTTTAATTTGATTAAAAAAAAAAGTGTTAACGTGTAAATTTACACTTTGTTTTATGTATTGTTTACTTTAAAGTAAAAGGCGACACAATGGAGCGATGCTGTTGTATTTTTATGTTATTTTTACCGTTACTGATATAAAAAAATCGCAAATAAAACCATTAAAAATTATGAATAATGTTTTAAAAAAATTAATATTATATCTAATAAAAAATATAAGCATCTTTTAGTAATAATTCATGTACCTATAAATTTTTTATTCCTTTTAGAATATATATTGTTTTTCCTTTTTACACTTAATTTTAATTTGAATTTATGATGAGTGAGAGAAAGGTAATAAATTTGCAAAAAAACATAAAAATTTAGGTTAATAAATAAAGAGGTAAAATGAAAAAAAATTACAAATGTTAAATTGTTTATATTTTCGATTAAGATTAGCTAGGACAAAATTCTTATACTTTGAGCCACAGAGACAGAGGTATTAATTAAGATCTCGAAATTACAAACAAATGTGAAGGAATTAATGTCATTTCTTTCTCATTAAAATATTAATAATTTAATAGTTAATAACTCAATTATTATTATTACTATTTAAAAATCTTCACATGCAATTACAAATCACATTTGTATATTTACAAGTCTTCCTCCATAAATTAAGAATTGTATTCGAGATTTACAAATGACTATTCTTTTTTACCGTAATTTGATTAATCCTTGTAATATTCAAATATAATTTTTTTATTATAAAAAATAATTGGCATTTTGCTTCAACGCGGATTTCACTCGGCAATTGACTAAATTACGTAACAAAAGTGAGTAATTATTAATGAAAATGTCCTTTGCATCTCACACGGATTTACTCTAGGAAAAATAAAAATAAAATTCTTTTAAATTATGTAAATGATAATTTGATCTCTCAAAATATCATAATATTAATGAGGTCTTTAGAGACCTCTTTGTCAATAATTTTTTTATATAAAAAACTATTTTACCTTTACTGAAAATCATAAAACCCAGTCACAATTTTATTTCATAAATTGCAAGAGTTGAATAAAAAATCATAATTTATCAAGTGTAATTTTTATTATTTAAAAATAAGCCTTAATTATAACTTTTATTTAATAAATAACAACTTTTATTCTGTAAATTGTCAAAGTTGAATAAAAACTATAATTTATTAAGTATAATTTTTATTATTAAAAAATAAGTTCTTATAATAACAAACCCCGTTCATAAATTTTGTTTAAAGAATTATAAGAATTGAATTAAAAATTATAATTTTTTAATAAAGGTAAAATAATTTTTTAAAAAAAAGTTATTGATAAAGAGATTTCTAAAAATTTTATTGATATTATAATATTTGAATGATTAAATTATTATTTATATAATTTAATAAATTTTATTATTATTTTTCTTTATTCTATTAAAAAAACACGGAGTTGGAATTTTTTATTTTTTTTCCTCCTTTATATATATATATATATATATATTGTGCAAAAGGTTCCAAAAGGTGAGAAAGAGTAATGAATGAAAGATGTTACAGTCATCGGTAATGAATGAAAGAAAGAAAAAATGCAAGAGAAAAGGCACAAAAAGTCCTGAGATGATTGATACCTGAACGCGTTTTGTTAGAATTTTCTCCTTATCACTGTCACAATTAATCCGCTCAATATCATCCACAGAATTACTCTCTCTTAAATTATAAAATATTTTTAAATAAAATTACATATATTGATAAAATTTAATAAATACACTTTACAATCTTTTAAAAAAATAAAAATATAAATTTTTAAAAATATTCTTCATTTAATATTTTATTTATAAAAAATTAAAGAAAGAATATAATAAAAAAGATAATATTAAAAAGTATAATTAATAAAATATTATTTTTGTCAAAATATTTTATATTTTGGAACGCTGAATCTCCCTTAAAAGTATCTTATAAATTAGATGAAGGGATATTTTTAAAAGTCATGTTTGGCTCAAAATATAAGTATTTAATTTTTAAATAAAGTTATTGAATTAACTACCTCTTATTAATTCTAATAAAGTAAAATGTAATTCATTTTTCTCCAACTAATTTTGGTCCAAAATACAACCCTCTCCATCTTAATTTATAAGGACATTTTTAGACAAAATCACTCATACCAATATAGCTCATCAAATATATTTTACAACTTTATTTTTTTAAAATAAAAATATAAGTTTACAAAAATGCCCTTAATTTAATACTTCATTTGTGAAAAAATGTTAAAGAGAGAGAATATAATAGAAGGGTAATATTAAAAAAGCATAATTAATAAAACTTTATTGTTTTAAAATTATCTTATATTTTGAGATGAAATACTTTCAAAATTATTTTATAATTTAAGATGAAGTGAATATTACTCTTATGAATTTCATAGTTTTTTCACTTTTTTTGTTTCCCATATATTTAATGCTTTCTCCCTTCAGGGTAATTCAAAGAAAGTGGCATAACTAACTTTTTTTTTTTTCTTTTTTAACACAATACAAGAAATAATCAACTTAACTAACTTTTCAAATTTATGTGAGTTAGTTAACTAAGTTTTATATTTAAGACAAGAGTGACTGATAAAAAATTTCTCCTTAAATTTTCATGTAATGCAAAAGTCCATATCTAGTTGTATATGAAATTTTATATCCTTTAATAGGCTAAGATAAATATATGTATAATAATAATAATTTTAATATGCTGCACTATTCTTCATCAACGATGAAAAGTGCAATAGTAATCCTTAGATTCTAGGATTAAATGATAAAATATTTTGAAACTTTTTTTTAAAAGCACTTGACGTTCTAAACATATTTTTAGAGTATTTTTGTCCTACCATTAAAAATCCTCAATATTGAACATTAACTAAAATTTGACCATGATATTTTTTGATTTTGCCCTCCTTCATTTTTGCATTTTTTTAATCTTTGTTTTCATTCATTGAAAGAAAGAAAGAATTCATTGGAAAACAAAATTAAAGACTAAATATAGAAAGGAGGGGAAAAAATACAAAAGTATCCTTAGACAAACTTCAATACACTCAATGTAACATCTTGAATTTCTTAATTCCGTAATTAGTAATTAATTGAGGGTAAAAGTGATCATTAGTGTAGAATTTAAGATTCGGATAATTACTTGGTAGTTTGACTCATTGGGATGTTGTATAAATAGATACGGGTGGAAGGATTGCATTTCGGGTCGAAAAAAGTATGCGTGGTAAAAATTCTTCTCACTATGCACGCGTCACAGCTTGTGTTGCATACACCGTAGTGCATAGACTAAAAAATAATCCCTTAAGTCATGAATTTTGGGTGATTTTCGTAAGGAAGAAATCAAAAACGCGGGAGAGGAGAAGAGGAGAGGGGCCGATGTGCTAGGGCAAGCTATTTCAGGTCATTAGAAGGTGCTTCTGATCGATAACTTAGCAAGTAAGCTACGTGTAATCCTTACCTTTCATTTTACTTAAATTTCTTTGAATATGAGTTGTAGAGAAGTTGAATCGGTGAAGTTTTAGCAGTTTGATTCTTTTTTAATAGTAATAAAAAGGTT